TTTGCTGCTCTTGCAGACAATTTGAGTTCAGTTCCCAACACCCCCATCAGGCAGCTCACAGCTGCCTGTAACTCCAGCTCCAGGGACCCCAACACCCTCTTCTGACCTCCACAAACACCTGCAGACATGTGTGCAAGTGGGTGCCCACACACACCAACAAAAATTAAAAATACTTTTTAAAAAAGGATTAAAGACAATATAAAGGATTAATTCTGTCATTTCCTACATATAAGAATAAAAGTTTCTGTTAATGCAGCAGTTTCCAGTTTTGAAAGTGCTTCTTCTACTTCCTGACTCAGAATCCTCTAGGAAGGTGGACGACAGCTTTATCAACAAAAGAAACTAAGGCTTTGTGTCCTGGCCTGAGTGACAGCCATTGAGTATTGAGTAGCAAGGTTGCAAGCATGCGCCTCTCTCTTTCTTTCTCTCTCTCTCTCTCTCTCTCTCTCTCTCTCTCTCTCTCTCTCTCTCTCCATGTAAATGAGACTGGCTCAATGGAGGCAAACGAAGCCTGGTCTCGGGAGAGTCATGTCTAGGATCTGTGAGACCTACAGTCTCATTGCCCAGCCTGGTCTGTCTCCAGTGTACTCAAGGCCTGAGGGGGAGAATCATACTTGTCTGGTGACAGAAGTAGAGGCTTTTCGTTGTATTAATGAAAACAAGCTCTTGTTTGTGTTGATAATTGATTTTTAAAATTTCAGAACTTAAGTCTTAATCTTTCAAATTCCCTCATATGTCCAAGATTGGTCATGTAAACTATAGTTAGCTGGGGCTGAGGGATAGTTCTTCACGTCCACAAGGACCAGTCTTGCAGTCCCTTTAAAAGTCAGCCCCTTTAAAAGGCGTTTTATAGGTTGTGCCCTCAGGCATGAGCAAGAGCTGTCTTGCATCTATGAATGGCTGGATGTCAGTTATGGAGAGTGAACGACAATCTCTATCCCTGCAGCTTTACAGGGCATCGGCCTTGTTTGAAACGATCCGGCATGAGGCACAGCTGAGCACAGACTACAAGCTCTCCCTCTTCGACCTGCAGACATCATCCTACCAGGCCTTGCAGCGGGTGCTGGTCAGCTTAGGTGAGAGCAGCCGCTGTGTGTATGTGCGTGTGCATACAAGCCTGTGTCCGCATTGTTCAGTGAGGAAAGGAATGATTGGCTACTCATTTGTTTATTCGGCCAAGATTGGCAAAGCAGTGGATGCAAGTGCCAGTGAACTCCTGGTGACATCAGTGAATGCACACTTAGCTTGTCTCATGGGCTGTCATGGACGTAGATTGATGAGCTCAGTGTGATACAACTGGCTTAATGACCGGAGAGCAATTCAGATAGTGAGAAAGCAGAACAAGTGTCCCTCTGCACCAGGTGTCCCTTCTACCAACACTTGCTTCAGTCCCCCTCTGGCCATGTGCCAAGACGACACTAGCCTCTTCTGTTTTCTCAGCCATGCATTTTTGCTACCTATTGCTTGTACTCATAGGCTTGCCTATGCCCTGAACTATATTACTCAGGGTTCTTCCCCACCTTCCCAGCCTGTGTATTGCAGGGTATCTGGACAGTCCACAGCCACCCTTCCCTGGGCTTTGGTGGCCACAGTGTCCCTTTCTTGCCTCTTCCATGGCCTGCCACTTCCCAGACGATTTTTGTATGAGTTACTTTTACTATAACAAAACACCTGACAAAACAAATTTCAGAAGGTTCGTCTGGGTTACGGCCCAATATGGGGTGGAGAGTAGGAGGCTGGTCATCCAGTCATAAGTGCTGGTGCTCAGCTGGCTCTCGCTCCCTCCGTGGCCTTTGTATTAGGTCTGGGACCCCAGCTGGGCTTTGCTGCTCAGGAGTGGGTCTCCTTTTGTCTGCTAAAGGACCCTTCAAGAGACACCTCTGGGTGTCTCCTAGGTGATCCCCAAACCAGTCAGGGTGGCAGTGAAAACAGACATCATAGTGTTCATCAAAATTAGCAAAGTGCTTTGGGCATTTGAAGCCTTTCTACCACCTGTCCTTCCCACACATCTAATGCTCGAGTTTCCTCTTGAAAAATAGAATGTGCTCTTGCCTGGGATTGTAATTTTTCGCCCATTATGATCACAGCGTTAAATCTTCCAGGACTTTGGGGCTAATTTTCCAGTGTGCACAGAAATTGTCCCACTGTTCTGGCTAATAAGTTAATAGAGTGAAAGAGGGTCTCTGCATACACTCATGTAAACCACTCTTTCTAAGGCTGCCTGGCAGCAGGGGGAGCCCCCTTGAACAGCCACTGCAACTGTTGCTTGAGCTTTCTATCTCCGCAGCCCTTGCTCTGGCAACAATTCCATGGTGCTGTTACCCTGAAGTCCATGCTCTGCAGTGTGTCCCTCACTGGTAGCCTGTGGCTTCGCATTGCCATGCTTTCGCACTGATATGACAAGTGTGCACACTGTCTTAGAGGAGACAGGGCTAGACGGTATACTGAAGGCTGAAGGAAAGCTTGGGAAAGAAGTGGCTTAAAATCTAGAGGTCTCAGAGGCTTCGGCTCTTTGCCCATGGAATGATAGGAGCGCAGAGTGGGACAGCAAGGCCACCACCCGTGCAGGCAGTGATAAAGAACATCTGCCCAGAATCTCCATACCCAGTTTCCTTTCCCAGTTCAGATGGGCACTCAGCTGTACCCCAAGTGATAACACCTGTCCCTCTGTCTCCTAGGCCATCATGATGAAGCCCTGGCAGTAGCGGAAAGAGGTCGGACACGGGCATTTGCTGACCTGCTGGTAGAAAGACAGACGGGACAACAGGACTCTGACCCCTACTCGCCCATCACCATCGATCAGATCCTAGAGACGGTCAATGCACAGCGGGGCCTGGTGCTCTACTACTCCCTGGCCGCTGGCTACCTCTACAGCTGGCTGCTTGCTCCTGGAGCAGGTGAGGTGTCCATCTGTGAAACACAGAAAGTGAGGAGGCTAGGAAAGGGGCGGAGTGGGAAGGTGCCATCTTCTAGGCCAGATGAACAAAAGCCTTAGTTGCAGTGGCTATTCCATGGCGGACCATTCTACTAATCAAACAGCTAAAGGAGTTGCGGCTCCTTGCTGCCGGTTGAGGAAACACTGACAAAGGAGACAACAAGAAGGGTGAATGCAGCAGTTGATTTGTAAGTGGCTGCTCTCCAGCTGCGGAGTAAAGACCACCTGACAAGTGCTTTCTCCATGTGGAAATTAGGTACCAAAGCAACGATAACTCTCCGTTGTTTATAATGAAAGTCGTAAGCTTACATTTCTGAGTTTAACAGAATCAATTTGTTTTTTTTTTTACTAGTTCTGTTGAAAATCTGTTTTAGAAGTAAAAATCCTCTTTTGTTAAGTCAGCACTAAACATTCAGGATGTAACAGTTTCGTTCATACAAAACTACTAATTGACTGTGGGGCCATATTTTTTGCATAGTAAAATGTTGATGGCCTCACCATGTTGGAGACACCAGATCCAATTGGAGCTTACTGACTGGAGAAGTGGGTCTTATAATTGAGAATCCTGAAGATGGGGTTCTTGCATATCTGAAAAAGTTCAGCTGCCAGGGAGAAGTGACAAGCTTCTCTGTCCATCTGTAGTAAAGGCAGTGGTGTTGGAGCAATGATGGTGCCAGGGTGACAATGTCAGAGCTATGGCTTCTAAGCACTTGGGCCTGCTCTGCGTCAGCATGATCAGCTCTCCCTCACAGCCACATCCTCCTGGGCTTTCCACAAACAGCATCCTTACTCTTATCCCTAGCCTGTATTCTGCCTGCCTGTATCCCTGCAGACCAGAAGAGGGCACCAGATCTCATTACAGATGGTTGTCAGTCACTATGTGGTTGCTGGGAATTAAACTCAGGACCTCTAGAAGAGCAGTCAATGCTCTTAACCTCCAAGCCACCTTTCCAGCCCCACCCCAACCTTGTAATGCTATGTTTTAAGTTGTTATTTTTCTGGTGACCTAGTAAGTGACATCTGCACCCCTGCCTCTAAGTGGGGCTCACAGTCGTGTGCACAGAGTGTGATGGTTGGCAGATATTAAGAGCCTTCTCTGCAAAGACTGCATTGTTGGGGACACATTTGACAGGTGGCATGCCAGATCCATGTGACATGCCAGATCCATGTGACAATGAGCTGTGTGTAATGAGATACCTATTGTGTCCCTTTTTGTTCTCTGTACTGTTAATGAGACTGGAACTTTTGCCAGGGCTCTAATCCAATCGGAGGACCAGCGTACCTCATTACCATATGAGGACACAGTTTATGCTTATTGCCAGGAAGTCATGGTGAACTGCCTCTATATCACAGACCCATTTTTTCCCTCCCTTAAACCATTAGTGGCCATTGACCAGTTGGTTTTATTTTTAAATGGCTATCTGCTCATTATGGTTTGCTTTTGTGAAACAAAACATCTTTTGTGCCACTTCCTCTTGACTAGTGTGGATTTGTTCAGGATTTCAGTCTCTGCTGAGGCTTGATCTGGACACTTGCATACTGATCATGAAGCGAGAGTCCCCAGAGCGCTATTCTGAAAGTGCATAGGAAGGAATCCGACCTCAGGACTTTTGCATGCGTCATCAGAAGCAGGCCTGTGTCTTCATAGCATGGACTGTGAGTGAGCACTGCTCCAGTTTAGAAAACCCCAAAACCTCGGGGTCTCAGCATGCTTGGCAAAGAAGCTACACAGTACCTAAATTCCCCTCTCCTACCTTCATTTGATCTCTTGCTACCCAACCATCTGTGACATTGCCATGCTTACATTGTTGCAGGAATCCTGAAGTTTCACGAGCATTACCTGGGTGATAACTCAGTGGAAGGTTCCAGTGACTTCCAAGCCAGCAGCAGTGCAACTCTGCCCATAGCAACCAGTTCTGTCCTGGAGCAGCACATTGCCAGCGTCCGGGAGGCCCTGGGGGTAGAGTCTTACTACTCCAGGTAGGAGGGTGTTCCTAGTTCATCTTTGTTCCAGTTCGGGTGGGTTTTTCTAGGAATTTGGAGTCAGGAACCAGTAGAAGACACCTTGTAGGAATCACATACTTTATTGGTCTCAGCGCAGTCACTGCAGCAACAGTCAAAGGTCAAGCACACATGTCCCCTGGAGGGGGCTCTTTCATTAAAATCCTGAGCTGGGAAAGGACCTCTTTCTGAGATGTGGGGTCCTTGAGCAGGCTGCGGCACTGACTGTAAGCGTGGCTGTGAAGGTAACATGACAGCTAACTTAAACAGAGACAATATTCATCTATAAACAGGATACTGAGTTTGTGCTGTAGCTGATTGACAGAATCTGTGAGATCTGAATGTTGGAGGGCTGAAGTGTAGAGAGTTGGCTTCCCAGATATCAGGGCTGGGGACAGAGGTGGCTTTCTTCAAATGGTGTGAGGGGACTGTGCTTCTGATAGTGTTTCAGTACGATGCTGGATTATCTTCTGTATGGAAACTGGTTTCCTCCGAACACTTCCTTCAAAAAGAAACTGCCAAAGGATATTTGTAAGTACCCAAGTCCTTGGGCAATGGTAGCCAAATGTTTCATTTCTCATGAAAACATCTACTCAGTTCAGTTAGGGCACCAGCAACAGATGTATTCCCTCCAAGTCCAAACTGGTAATTGAGGGAGTTTAGGGGGCTGCCTTACAGAGCATGGGTAAGGGTGCATGACTGATCCTCGAACACCTGTATCACCAAGACATCCCACTTTAGCTCTCTTCTGCTTCCTATACAGATGGGCATGGAAAGCCTATGGTCATGTGCCACATCTGTCCCAGAAGAGCGATAGACACAGTGTCAAGTTGCTAGTGCCTCCCAAGATCATGTGCAGCAGCAATGGCTGGAGTTTTAGGAGAGGGGCCGCTGGCCTTCTTTCCATGAGGGAGCACCAGCAGTCTTTTGACAGTCTAGTGGGTCATCACAGTACTTGTCATATTATACCCAGAGGACAGGGCTCCACAGCACCAGCTGTCCAGAGTGAAAGTAACTAGGACTTGTCCATAGCAGGCAGAGTTGGGTCTGGGCAGAACCTCTACTTTTGTCCTAAATAGCCTGAAACCACAGAGCCCAGGGTGTCTCTGTGCTCCCTTGGGCACTTTGCCTGGCTCCAAGTGTGGGTGCTTCTTGGGGTGCTATATACTTATAAAAGGGCTCTTACATGAGAAACAGAATAACCACTGGGCCGTGTAGCATCAAGGTTATAAGGGGATGGAATGGCCTCCTGGTTCAGATTCCTATCTAGCTGAAATCAATGACATAAGTGGATTGGGACTTGCTCACGCTGGTGTCAGAACCAGGGTCAAGGCAATTTTCACCCAGACAGACTTCCAGGCCAGGCCTGTTCTATTCTTCATTATCAAAATTAATATCGTATTTTGATAAAAGAGCCAAATCATATAAAATGTCATTTTCTAGCTTCTGTTTTTATGAAGGATGAACAGGCATTGTCCATATACACACTGTAGTTGCTGTCCATCCCAGGCTGGCCTGGCCTTGCCTTGGGCCATGCTGTGGTGGTCACAGGGGTTGATACTGTAGGGAAGTATGGATGCCCTCTGAGATTTAAACCATAAATGCACAGCATGTGTGTGTCAGGGTGACCGGGCCGCTCTCTGGCCCAGGAATTTTACTCTTGAAGTGAGAAGGAAAGGGAAAAGCTAGCCCACAGAGGAAATACAGGGGGAGAGTGAGCATGGCAAACTAGGCAGTGCCTGCCTCTGACAGTGTCCAAGGACTCAGAGACTGAAGTTCATCACAAGGCTCTTCCCACAGTGGATGTGAGGCCAGTGTGCTCTTTCTTATCTTTTTCATCCCCCCGCCTCAGGACTGGTGCAGCCGCTCTATACAAGTCTGCTGTGTGTCAGATACTGGGGTAGTGATGACCAGGGCAGGCAGCCTACTGACCGACCTACACTGTGGTCAGATACTGGGATAGTGATGACCAGGGCAGGCAGCCTACTGACCGACCTACACTATGGCCAGATACTGGGATAGTGATGACCAGGGCAGGCAGCCTACTGACCTGTCTACACTGTGGTCAGTAACAGGTGATAAAGACTTAAATCCCAGTGTGCGTACAAATGAAAATACAGGTGCAGCAAGAATGTGTGACCAGGAAATAGCGTGCACTGGGAGCTCCAGAGGACCCTAGTAAGAACTATGCTTCTGAAGTCATTGTATCCTGAACACATAATGACTTTAGAGACCCCTCAGGCCACCCTCCTCTTCCTTGGGTCCTGGACTTCTTGTCAGTCTTTGTGATGATTAACTGGTCTCTTGCATAGGAACTGTCCAGAGTGGCAGTGCTTTCTCTTGGACAGCCTCTAGAGCTGAGGAAGTTTCCTCAAGAGGGAAAACCTTTCTTGGGCAAATTCAGAATGTCAGTCTAGGTTTCAAACTAAAGCCACAGTCTGGAACTTAAAGTAAATGCACAGAGGTACCTGGATAAGCACCTGCTGCTTGAACCCTCTACACAAGCATGGGAAGGAACAATCCAGTGTGCCCTTTTCTTTACAGTGACTAGGTGGCCACCCAGGTCATTTCAAGTCAAACCCAGACAGAGGTGTTCATAGTTCGGGTGAGAGAGGGAGGAGCTGAGGGGAAGTGGTGGAGGTGGGGCAGGGGGCAGGGTGGGATAGAGAGGAGGGCATGACAGATGAGACATGCATCTTGTTGGATAGGGGCAAGAATGGAAAATAGTGAAGCTTAGCCCACATGAAAAACCCATGTCACTTCATCTCGGTTGTGGGGCCTGGATAAACCACACCCACAAAGGAAGAGACTCACCTTTGACCTTCACAAGTATCTCCCCACTGAACCCCACCTTGCCTGAGGGGCATTGTGTAATGCTAAAGGCTGAACCATGCTGCTTTCTTTACATTTTCAACTAAAGATTGTCTTGAGTTTAAACTCAGCCTCCATTAGAGGCAGGGACTAGGAAGGAGTTGGCAGTTCCTTTGTTCTTGTATCAGTGAGCACTGGAACCCTTAGTATCTCCCACAAGCTGGGGCTCCTTGCTTAGTGGTCACTCTGCCGGGCTGCCCTCAGTAGGTTAGATCCCACCTCAGGCTTCCCCAGGCCTGGAGCGATTCTGTTAACAGTGTGTGTTGTACGGCAGAGTCCTGCAGGGAGTCCTGGGGAGGATTTTTCCTGCAGTTTCATGAAGACAGTAAGAAGGTTTGAAGCATGCAGTTTTCCCCCTGCAAAGTCTGTCCTAATTTATAAAGCTGTACAGCTGGAGGATAGAATGCTAGACAGGAAGTTGAGTACGAAATTATATAATATAATGAATGAAGTGTGTTTATGCAATACACACATAAAATGGACTGTATTGTACGCTGATGGTGGGATTAGGGATGTTTGCTATGTTCGTTACTCTTTTCATCATTTCAGGGTTGCTGTGCGTGTTTATGTTTTATATAGTGGCCATATGTTATTTTTTAAGTTAGAAATAAATAACCACAGAAAACCTTCATCATCCAAAAGAAAACATAGAGACCTTCCTGTAATCTTACTGCGCAAAGAATAAGACACAAGTTTGGGAGCCCATCACCATATCTGGTCCTAGTAGATGGTATGCTTTTATTTTCCATTCTTGCCCCTATCCAACAAGATGCATGTCTCAGCTGTCATGCCCTCCTCTCTATCCCACCCTACCCCCTGCCCCACCTCCACCACCCCCCCTCTGCTCCTCCCTCTCTCACCCAAACTATGAACACCTCTGTCTGGGCATGCTGCGCTGACTTCCTGTGGCATCTCTCTCTATCATGCTGATAGCATACAACAGAACGTGCAAGTATATCTGGGAACCAGTGAGTCTGTCAGTGACTCTCTGACAGCTACATCACCCAGGATCCATCCCAACATGGGTGACAACTCATGAAAACTGCATCCCTGGTGTTCCTGCTCTAGCCAACCTTCCACTTCCTGTATACACTAGCATCCCAGACCATATGCTTTTGGGGGCCAGCAGGGGTGGTGAAGGAATCTCAGGTGAGGCTCAGATGACAACCCCATCCCTCAGAAAGGAGGATTCTCGTGAAGGCTGTCTGAAGACAGCCACAGCTGCTCTGATTTCAACATGGTGGGGGCCATGCCCTGTCTAGAATGGCAGAGACAGAACAGGCTGCCATGGAATTGTAAAAATAAAACATCTGGGCAGATCTCTAAGTAGTTACAAGACTGAACTGGTGCCTAGCTCTTTCTAGCAGGGGCAAGTCCAAGGCCAGATGATTTCATTATAGACCACTGCCACCTCATACAGAGGAGCAAAGAGCATCCATGCAACTGCAAGGGAAGAGTCAGTTCAGATACATTTTATGGTAGACTTATCCTGACACCAGAACTGCATGATGCCATGAGGAAACCGATGTCCTTACTGTGGCTACACATGTAGGTGGCATTTTCCTGTCCTGACCGCCTACTCCCAAATGACCACTCAGAGGCTAGATATAAATTATAAATGCTCAGCCAATAGCTCGGGCTTATTACTAGCTAGCTCTTAAAACTTAATCCATTTCTATTAATCTATGTGCTGCCCCAAGGCTCCTGGTTTTCACTTCTATCCTATTTTGTGTGTCTCACTTGTTCTCCATCTAGCTAGCAACTCCTCTGACTCCACCCTTCCTCCTCCCGTCATTCTCAGTTTGATTTTCCTGCCTAACTTTGTCCTGTTCAGCTATTTTCCAGCAGCTTGTTTATTAAACCAACTATAGTGACATCTTTTCACACTATACAGAAGGATTATTCCACAGCACACAAATGCCTCAGGAAACACCAGAACCAATCAACATCCATGGAAAGGATGCCTTGTTCTAACCAAATGGGACTGATCTACAGAAAGCCGGAAGAGTTCAGAACCTGAAAATTTATATAGTGCATATGAACAGGAGGGCAGAGACGTAGTCTCAGCCCAGCTAAAGTGGAAAAGACACCTTATGACACCCTTTAGTGATAAAAGTATAAAAGAGGAAGAACGCAGAGGGCCCTCAACATTGGCACAACCATGTGTGAGGCTGGTCCTCAGCTGGCATCACCCCTTAGTGCCCTTGCTAGAGTCAGCAGGAGAATATACTGTCTCCTGCCACTGTCACCCAGAATGGGCAATTTCATCAGGGAAGTCAGGCCTGGGGGGAAGTGAAAGGAGGAAGTGAAATATGAAAGCTTGGGCCCCTAGAGTCGCAGGTAATGTGGACATTACATAGATTCATGTTGTAAAATGGAGCAGCGGGCTGTGTCCCACCACCCAGCTCCCAGCTAGCTTTACCCGAAATAATTACATGGAAACCGTATTCTTTTAAACACTGCCTGGCCCATTATCTCTAGCCTCTTATTGGCTAACTCTCACATCTTGACTCAACCCATTTCTAATAATCTGTATGTCACCACAAGGTCGTGGCTTACCGGGAAAGATTCAGCATGTCTGACCTGGCAGCTTCATGGAGGGTGGCTCTCTGACTCTGCTTCTTTCTCCCACAATTCAGTTCTGTCTTCCCCGCCTACCTATGTTCTGACCTATCAGGCGAGGCAGTTTTCTTTATTAATTAACCAATGGAAGCAACAGATAGATAGAAGACTCTCCTACATCAGATTCAAGCAGGTTGCAGGGTTCTGAGCTCAACCCAGAGAGCTGCTTCTGTGTCACATTAGAGCAACTGGACTGAACATAACCGAGAAAAGGTCTGCATATTGAGCATGGCAAACACTGTTGAAAGGAATTAAAGTAAATGGAAAAACGTGGAACCCCAAGTATCACTCACAGAAGAATGAAGTTGAGCCCTACCTGGAACCTTATACAGGCCCAGTCCAGATAGTTAAAGACCTGATGTAAGACCCAAAGTCACAAAAATTAGAAGAAAACAAAGGAAGGAAGGACACACACATCTAGAGAGGACACATAGGTGTAACATGAAAAGGCCAGGCCTGCTTGTTGGGGTTTTTGTCCTGCTTGTTTGTATTTATGTCCTGTCCAGTTCCCCACAGCTAGCTTGTTGGGGTTTTCTGTCCTGCCTGGCCCCCCAGCTGTTTAGTCCCAGAGAAAAATCACACAAAGGACTTCGTAAGTTATAAAGCTGATTGGCCCATTAGGTCAGGTTTCTTATTAGCTAACTCTCATATCTTGATTAACCCATTTTTCTAATCTATGTTAGCCATGTGGCTCAGTACCTTTTTCAGTGGGGCAGCTTACATCCTGCTGCTTCGGTGATCTGGGCAGGAGTGGGAGGAATCAACTTCCTCCTCCCCAGAATTCTCCTGCTCTCCTTGCATCATTTCCACTTCCTGTCTGGTTTTCCCACCTACACCTCCTGCCTGGCCAATCAGCGTTTATTTAAAACGTGATTGACAGAATACAGACAATTCTCCCACACCACATAGGACTTGAAAATCCGAGTATAACAAACGGAATGGCTGCAGCGGAAAAGGCAGCAGATTCAGAATAAACCGAAAAGCTACAGCCCAGTGTAAAATGGGCAGAAGTGGGAATCACTTTTCTCCAGAGAGATACCAAACAGCCAGCAAGCACATTAAAAGATGTCCTGCATTGCTAGAGTAACATAAATCAAATGTCTGTGAGAGGCCGTCTTCACATCGGGAACAAAAAGTACCAAATAACGAGGACTGGGATGGGAAGCTAGAGGCCATAAGTGGTGTTTATTGGAGAGTGAGACAGTGTCGCCACTAAGGTAAACAGTACCGGGGTTCCCCAGAAGACTAAACATATCACTAACATATGGAAACAACAACCTCCCTGCTAGGTATTAAATCATAAGAATTGAAAACACAAACTGAAAGAAACAGGTGCACACCATGTTCACTGTGGCACTGTTCACAATACCCAAAAGGTGGAAGGCACCAAAGTGTCCTTCTAGGGGAAAATATGTAAGAAAATGTGGTATGTACATTCAGTGGGATATTATCCACCCTTAAAAAATAAATCAGCCAGGTGATGGTGCACACCATTAGTCCCAGCACTTAGGAGGCAGGCAGACCTCTGTGAGTTCGAGACCAGCCTGGTCTACAAGAGCTGGTTCCAGGACAGCTTAGGACTGTTACACAGAGAAAACCTGTTTTGAAAAAAACTCTAATAATAATAATAATAATAATAATAATAATGTGTGTGAGAGAGAGGTGGGGGGGGAAGAAATCCTATCATGTACCACAATCTGCCAATGAAATAAGTCCGGCACGGAGACAAACGCCATCTGACCTATGTAGGTGACACAGCTAAAGCAGCCAGACCGTTAAGCTGAAACTAGAACCCCAAGTGGAATAGGGCATCAGGCTAGAAGGGGACAGGGCAGGAGATGGGCGCATTTGCAGCTTTAGTTCCACAAGATCTAAGTTACACCAGAGTCACCCCACAGTGCTGCTGCAGTGCTAGCTAGGGTCGTGAGCCTGTGTGCTATATCTGCACAGCCTTCAGTGAAAGCACGCTCCAGTGTAGGTCACACCATTGTCGCCTGGCCACCTCCTGACTCCCTGTCATGTCCCTCTCCTGTATGCTTTTGCCACCCTCCTGCCAGGGGAGCCTTTCAGGGCTGTGTTTGTCACAGTTTCTGTGCTCTCCCACACAGCTAATTGCTGCCAGGGGTCTGATGGGCTCTGGGTTCCCATCTGCCTTCCCACCACTGTATAGTGGGGTCCAGCCTGCCACTTGGGCAGCTTTTCTGCCCTAGCATGACATCCTTCTCCACCTTGATGACCCAGTCATGCTGGGCACATAATCTCCACCTTCTCTAGTGAGGCCTTTTGAAGATCTGCTCAGGTGTCCTCCCCTCAGGACCAACTGAGAGTGAGGCAGATGCTATCCTATCTACTCAACCTTCCTTCTACCCTGTGATGGCCTAGCAACCTCCAGAATAAACATTCCCATGGCTTTCACCGGACTGAGCAAGTCTGTGGAGTCCACAGCAGCACTCAGACCCCCATTGGTTCTCAATAGTAATACAAGCAAACTGGCTGCTTTATAAATGGCATGTGTGTGTCTCCCGAGTGGATGGTGATGCTCAGGAGCTTGGACTCTTTCCCTCTCTTCACTGAGTGGAGCCTGACCCACAGAGAGGTCAGCAGGAAATACTGTGTGCCCGCCTGTCCATGCTGACATAGTTTCATGTTTTTATTTTCTCTCTCTCATGGTGGCCCTTGGAAACTGCATCTATATGCCTTGGTGTAGTTCTGCCTGGGCAGCCCTGGCGCCCACCTCTGTCCTCCTTAATGGCACTTTGCTGCTAGACAGAAGATTCCTAACATGGGTTTTAAAGTAATAGAGCGGCTTTGTTTGGTGCTTGCTAAGAACTTCTACCACAGATCAGAAGAGGGAGGCAAGGTGGGAACCGCAGGCCGAGCTTCCCTGGACGGAGACACCTAGACTTCCAGACACCTCACTATAACTCTGAAATGTAGCCAGGCTTGCTTGCATAGAAGTTGCTCCCTGAGCACCTGGAACAGAACTGTGGCAGTCTGGGAACTCTGACGAGCACACGGCTGGCTAGGTATGATAGTAGCTGGGTGGAAACTACTATTCTAGCTCCCATAGGCTGTGACTAAATTGCAAGTGTAGACTGCCCTGCTAAGGGGAATGTATTCTTCCACTGTAAAGAAATAGTAGGCCTTAGGAGGCAACTGTTGCTCAGGTTCCCCATTTAGTGGTTTGCTTTTTCTTCTTCCTCTTCTTCTGCTTCTTCTTCTTTCTTTTTTATTTTCTTCCTTTTTAATTAAGAATTTTTTAATACAATCTTTTCTCAATTTACATAGCTAACCCTGTTCCCTCTTTCTCCCCTCCTCCCGCTCTACCCTTTCCTCCACCCTATCCCCTATCCACTCTTGAGAAAGGGTAAAGCTTCCCATGGTGAGGCAACAACGTTCAACACTTCATTTTGAGACAAGACCAAGGCCCTCCCGCTTATATCTAGGCTGAGCAATGTATCCCTCCAAAGAGATGCCAGTTCAAGCACTAGGGATAAATTCTGGTCCCACTGCCAGTGGCCCCGCAGACTGCTCAAGCCTCACAACTGTCCCCCACATTCAGTGATCTTAGTTTGGCCCTATGCCAATTCCCCTGCTTTCAGTCCAGAGTCAGGGAGCTCTCACTAATTCAGATCAGCTGCTTCTATGGGTATCACCATCATGGTCTTGACCCCTCTGCTCATATTATTGCTCCTCCCTCTCTTGGACTAGCATCAGGTATCTCAGCCCAGTGCTTCACTGTAGATCTCTGTATCTGCTTCCATCATTTGCTGGATGAAGGTTCTATGATGGCCCTTAGCGCAGTCATCAGATTACGGGGAAGGCCAGTTTATGTGTTCCCATAGTGTAAGTTCTTTTGTCATCAAGTGCATTTTATCTCGAGCACCAACTGAGCTATGCTGGTTCACACATGCCACCTGACTTCAACACTGCTAGACTGAAGATGGGCATCAACAGAGCTGATGACACCAAGGATGGGAGGTGATGTGGGTACATTGTTAAATCCTTGGGCTATAGGAGGACAGATACTGCTTAGAAGGCATGTCCTAGGTGTGATCACATGAGCAAAGGCTACAGAACAGATCTATAAACAATATCCCAAGTGCTAGAAATGCTTTTGGTGAGGAACCCAAAGCAGAACAGCAGACAGCTTCCAAAAGAGATGAAAATGAAGTGTCCCCAAGTCACCTGCATCCTTTTGCAATGCAGATACCATGACCCTGTATAGAAAGTACAGCCAAGGAGTGAGGATTCTGAAGTTATCCCAGGTTCTTAATTTAAAGCTGGACTCCAGACAGGAGATGGGCTCAGTCAGAGGGACAATGGTGCATACTGTTTCCAAGAGCCTAATCGTTGTATGTCAAGGGTTGCTTATTATAGTATTTAAATTTTACTAAATAAAGCAAGGAATGAGGGAAATTGCTGTGATTAGTGTCATCACCCATATTCAGATTAAAGGTGAAACTTGCTGATGAGCTGACAGGCCAAGTCACATGACTGCTAGCTAGTACCTATTCAGCAGGTACCAAGGCAAGGCTATTGTGTCCTTGCTAGGTCATAAGCCCCATCGAAGTTATTATGGTTCTTTAGGGGTTTCAACCTATCTCTATAGAGATCTGTAGCTGGTGTTCTGTTATTGTCCTTGTGGTTTGACTATGCAGTGCCCCACAACAGGCTTGTGTGATGAATGTTTGGCCCCCAGCTAGTGGCACTGTTTCATGAAACTTTGGATGGTGGGAGTCACTTGAGGAAACCTTGAAGGTTGTAGGTGATCACTAGGTACCCCTTACCCTTCACTTCTTCTCAAGAGTTGAAGAAGCTTTTTCTGACTGTGTGTCCCAGGTGTATGGGAAAACAGTCACAGACTGAACCTTTGGAAGCTATGAGCCAGGATCGGTTTCCTCTTAAGATTTTCTCACGAATATTTTGGGCACAACTGCCCAAGGGTAACCATAGCACCCCAATCAATCTGCACTGGTAAAG